AGAAATCTAGCAGTCAAGAAAAGACAGAATATTATGTAGGAAAAAGAACCAATGTAGTCTGGAGCCTAAACCTAGGCTGAGGGGACCTGTCTCCACAAGCACAAGGCAAGCCCAGAAAGAGGTGGAACCTCAGGGCTAAACAACCGACAAGCAGCAGTAGCCCAGGTCAAACATACAGCTACTGTAAGGTGCAAATACAGTGTGCAGTTATACTCATTCAGTGACCCCTTCTGCATGGGAAGTTAGCTTTGGAGAATGAATCCCCTACTGTGCCCACCACACTTGGGAGTGGTTTAATCAGGAGCCATCATGAGAAGGGGTATATTGTTTAAGAGTGAGCTACTCTGGGAATAAGAAATCACAGAAAAACCATACTTCAAGGTCTCTGGAGTCACCCTCCTACAGTGAGTGGTTGGGAGATGGCCACAAGAGATGGCCACAAGAGATAGTCACAGAGAAAGAGGGCTGGTCACAGATCCCATGAGAAGTTTAAGCATTGAGAAGTTCAAGCTGGAAAAGACACAGTGGTTCTGCCCTCTATCTTGGGGAGCCAGATTTTTGCCGGTAGTTTTCTGAGAGGACTAGGTCTGAAAGCACCAAGATTGTACCCAGTGAACTGCTCAGCCCGCCCTTACTGCCTACTTCCAGCATAGAATTCAGAGGTCTGTTTGCTTTCTCAGTCTGCCAACATGATTGGAATCACACCTTCCCTTGGGCAATTGCCACATCCAGGGGAGTATTACAGAGGCATGTCCAGAGCAAGGGGTTCACCTCATGAACCCACAGACCAGAAAGCTAATTGGAGATAGCACTGACTTGGGGCACACAACAGGGGATAGGCATTAAGCTGCTGGAGTGAATATACCTGTGAGGCAGACAGCACACCCCTGACTGACCCCAGAACTCTGCAGTCATAAAACAAAAGTGGATGTGGTGATACAACAGGCTCTGATTGCAACTTCTCCTTCCTCCATACCCAGTGTATTCTAATAGTACAGGTATTGTGAAGAAATACCCATTCAAACATCTCATCATGAAAGAATTTTTAAACTCTTCTTTTTAATCTGTTTTTGTTTGTTTTGTCCTTTTTTCCTTTTCTTTCCTTGTTTATGATTTTGTCATATTTACTTATTATATTTACTTTTTTATTCTTTCATTGTTTTTATCTCACTTTTCTCCCTTCTTCATCTTTTCTTTCTTTCTAAAAATTTCCTTCTTTCCTTTTCTTTTTTCTTTTATTATTATTGCTGTCAACCTTTAATAAATTTAGCCTTTTAATTTACTCTTTGTCATTATTGCTGATTTCTATTGCTATTGGAGACATAGTTGTTCCTTTTACTTATTTCTTTACTAAATGTTTATCTTTGTGTCACTGACATAACTGGAGTTTTTTCCTTTTAGGAGGGTGCTGGGGATCAAGCTCTCAAAAGAAGGCTTCTGGACACCAAAATGACCCTCAAATAAAATTGGAAGATAAATCCATCTCAACAGATGCACAAGTGTTAATATATAAATACAAGTATAAAACATCAAGGCAATAGGAGTCCTCCAAATGCTCTTAATTCATTAGTAACTGGATACAAAAATATTAAAGTGAAGGGAAAGGTAAATAATTCAAAAGACTGATTTATAAAATGATTCACTTTTAAAAGGAGGATACAATGACAGCTGAATGGATCAAGCAAGACAATAGATACAATGGAACAGTTGCATAAAGTGATACTGATTCTGAAGAGAAAACAAACAAAACTCAAAATTAAAAAATGCAATAAGTCAAATAAAAGTTTCAGTGGAAATGTTTGCAGATAGGACCATGAAGAAGAAAGAATTTCGAGGCTTACAGATAAGGTTGGAATTAATACATACATACACTAATAAAGAAAAAATTAAGAGATAATAGAGAAAAAAATTTAAGAATTCAAGGACATAATTAAAAGACCATGAATGTCCTTCTACAGTAAACAGTTAGTGAGTGACCTTGGTCCAGCTCCTGTCACCATAATTGCAGAAAAATAGCTGGCAAGAATGCAGTTGTAGCAAAGGGCTCAGCATTTGAACCTAGGTCCCAGAACAGCCCCTTAGCTCCAAGCCATGCTCCACACTGTCAAGTTCCCAGAATGCTTCAGTGAAGGACAGCCAAGAGACAGTGGGTGGGATGGAGTCCAGCTGAGGGGCTGGAGCTGGTTAACACAAACCTACCTTGTAGGGTTGGAGGCCAGATTCAGCCCAAGTTACACAAGATTGGAAGGTCATTTTGGCACCCTTTCCCCATTGTATGCAGATGTTTGCATTCAGCACCATTCTGGAGGGTGACTGCCATCTTAGACCTCCAGCATTAGCAGAGTTGTGTCTTGGGCTTGAGTTCTGCTCCTTATCCCTAGGCTGTGGAAAAGAGCCACATTCTAATACAATAGAAAACCTTCCTTTTGATATAGGGCAAAGAGATGTAACTCCTAAAACTACTATATATATCTGAAAGGTGAGTTAGTGTTCTCTAAAATAGAAGAATGAATTCTAGGAATAATGGAGGTTAAGAGCAGGAAAAACTTATTGGGAGAAAGAAAGTTTCTGCCTAAGAGAGACATAAGGGGGACCAGAAAGTGGGTTGCCCGCTCACCCCACTTTTCAAAGATGTTTTATACAGCAAAGCCACGTGATGGGGTGGGTACAAAGTGGGACAAAACTGTAAGAGACAATGGAAATTTACAAGGCAGGCTTGAGGTGGGACAAAACCATGACCAACCAATGAGATTACAAGTACAGTCACCCAGGTAAAATTGATTAAATGGGGATCAAATGGGAAGACAAGTCACATTCAAGAAATTTCCCATTTAGAATATCAATCACTGCTATCTGTCTTGAGGGAAAGTAGTACTTCTTTTCCTTTTTATAATGCTAACCAGTGAATGTGCCTCAATTGTTTTTCATGTTGGTTCCTTGCTGTGTAGGCTCCTGTTTAACTGCCTACAAGATATCTAATTAACTTACCTATCTGCAATAATAGTATGCTCTTTTTCAATCATGTAGAGAAAGTTAAGCATTGTCTCAATTTCTTCCACTAACATTTACTCACTGCACTTGAAAATTACTCAAAAGAAAACAGATTGATTTAGTTAATTGAAGCCTGAGTCCTGTCTTTTACCTTGATATATCATGTTTTAATTATGATAGTAGTAAGGACAAGAATGGTAGAATGAAATATATATAGGTTCAGATTGCCTTTGTCATCCAGGTATTGATTAAATGGAGGTGAAATGGGAAAACAAGTCACATACAAGGAACTTCCCATTTAGAATATCAATCTCTGCTATCTATCCCCAGGGGAAGTAGTGCCTCCTCTCTTTATAATGCTAACCAATGAATGTGCCTCAATTGTTCTCCATGTTGGCTTCTGGAGGGCTGGTGCCTTAAGGGAGGCCCTGTCTACCTGCCAACAAGAAATCTAATTAACTTACCTATCTATAATACTTTTATGGTTTACTGTTTTGCTATTTTCCTCTTTCTTTTTACACCCCCCCCGCGCCCCCCACATACACTTTTATTCCATTCTTTGCCCCTTTTTTCTTTTAAGCTTGTGTGGGTATGTATGTGTGTTTTTCTTCCTCTTGCCCTTTTATTCCAATATAGCTTATAGAGGATAAGGGAATTCTCCCTTGTCCCTTTTTATTCCTTCTACTTTTATCCATATTTTTTTTTGCCTGACTTCTTTCTCCTCTTTCTTCGTTTTTTTGTATTTTTTCTTTCTTTTTCTCATCTTTATCTATCTCCCTAGAATACTTTCTCACCCCCATCTCTCACTACTGATTTAATAACCAGTTTTCCCTGTTATTCTACCCAAATATATAACATACCTCTACCACTATTAGGATGCTTTGCTCCCCTCCTATTTTATCCTTCCCATATGACATAGTAGGAAACAAAAAAAGTACTTTTTTCCCCTTTGCTTTTCTCTGCTTTGACCATATCCAGTCCCTAGTGCTCTGTGCTTTAGATAATTGATTCTATAAAATTACCGTTGAATTTCTTTCTTTACCGTAAGAGACATAACTGTAGTAGTTATGCATGAAATGCCACACATTTCCACTGCATGGCAATGCCTGAGCCATTATGATGCTTACACTGTAACTATGGATTTCTTCTCTAGGCAAAAGGGAGATCCAAAAGTGGATCTCATAGTATGTTCTCAATTTGCCCAGATAGATAACACTGTAGCTGATTCACTTGTTACCACTGTAGTGGATTTGATTGCACAGGATACTCCTGACTCAGTGGATAATTTCATCTCAACAATCAGTCTGCCAATTCCACCATTTCACCTAGGGAGAGGGATAGCAAGAGCTCCTAATCCAAGGACTTGCACTTGACCAGACTGCAAAAATTCCTGCAACCTGGCAGAAGGAAGCCGTGAGTGGGAGTTAGCTTTAGTACTCCAGCAAAAGATTCAGAGAATGTACTGGGGTGTGAGGACTCTAACTTTCTGGCAAAGAAACTATATAACGCTGTCTCATTGAAATATTTATTCTGTGTTCCCATCTGATATTTTATAGGTTTTAGTTTTTGTTTGTTTCTTGATTTATTTATGTGAGACCAAAGCGACTCCATTTTGCTAAAATGCACCATTCTCCTAGTCCCTCACAAATTAATGGTTAAAATGTGTGTGCTCTGGGATAAAAGACACAATCTGTACTGAAGCAAAGTTCCTAAGTTAATTACTCAACCATCTGTTTGCCTAGGAAAAGAATGTTCCAGGCCCCCTATCATTGAACAATCTGTAGATGTGCTGACTGTCAGTACGTAATGGTCGTGACTAATAGTCAGTGTATCTGCTGACCATCAGTAGGTGACAGTCGACCACCAACCTTTGTCCCTCATTTCCCTCGTAAAACCTACATGTAACCGCCCCTCAACCCCCCCCATGAACCTCGCCAATCAGAAATGTACACTTCATGCTTGCTAAATGCTAACCAATCATGTAACTGCTAAGTAAAAAATCTCCAAACCTTGCTGTAATCTCTATAAAAATCCCTGGTGTTTTAGAGTTGGGGCTCTCAATTCTGATCCACTGCATCGGTGACGGTTGTGAGGCCCTGCTCGAGCTTGAATAAATGACCCTCTTGTGTTTGCATCGGAATTGGCTCCTTGGTGGTCTTCGGGGACTTTGCGATCTGGGCACAACAATTTAGAAGTGTGGGGTTATATCGTGTTCATTTATGGCTTTTTTGTGTTTTTACTTTTGTGAATTTTTTCTTCTATTGGCTCTAATTTAATAGTTATCTATGTTCTCTCCCTCAGCTCCCTATCTAGTTTCTTCACTTCAAACACATAAAGCAATAGAATTACCATATTTCTTTATTCTTTTTCCAAGTACGTAAACTCCTCCTCCCAAGTTTTTAATTTTCCATACTTAATTCCCTTGCAGTCACTTTTCTTCCTAGTATTAAGCCTCAATCGTCCCCATCCTCAGTTGTTTGCTCTCCCATATCTTACCTCACTCATTGTCCTCCCTAAAAGCAGGTTCTGACAACCACATAGCTTTCACCAATCACAAAGTAAACTTTCTTCCTCCCATCTCTTACACTTTCCCCAACAAATATCCTCTGAAAACTCTCAATAGTAACCCTTCAACTCAACTAAAAGTACTCAAATAGAATCAGACCTCAAATCAATTTCTCATTTGTCACTATCCACACCTACAAACCTCATTTTTAATGTCTTACACTTCTCATCCAACCACCTTCCATTCTTCTTCCTCCATTTCACCAACATCATTGCAGAAAAACCACAAATAATAAAAAGTCATAGTGTGCATAAAGGATAGACAAAGAAGGGAAAGTTTAATTACAAGGACTATGATATAGAAGTGTTGTATGATTGAATCTGTTGATAGTGTTATAATTAGAAGTAATTCCTTTAGCAAAATATAGAAACACTGTCTAAATCACTTAGAGTAAATTAGCAGAAGGAGTAAATATTTTCAGTGGATATGCAAAGCTGGAATATTATGCATGGGAAGGCTATATCTCACTAAAGTCTGTGTATAAACCACAAACTCTCCTCACACTTTTAGTCCACAACATGGAGTATCCCCCCAAAAAAGGAAGTGGAAAAAGGGAGATATGTGTATACACAGATATGAGCATGGGGAATCAAGGAAATAGAAGATCCCTGGGTTCATCCAACTCAAAAAAAGGGTAACAAATGGAGAAGAAAACAAGTACCAGGAAAAGGAACTCTATGAATAGTTCATAGATGGGATGAGGCAAATAGGAGAGTTCAAAGAGAAAATGAACCAAAAGTTCACAGCAGTTTCACTCAAAATGTCCATGGTGAATTTTGAGAAAATAAGTGAAAATCTGGATGAGCTAACCAAAACAGTTCAAAATTTGAATGACAGATTCAACTAGAAAGTAGAATCCTGGAAAAAAGGTCAGAGAGAAATACCTGAAATAGAAAACTGTAGAGAATTCATAAATTGCAGAAATGATCAATAAGAAGAAAGAATGTCTGATATTGAGGACAAAATATTCAATTAGGATGAAGAGCTCAAAGAAGCCAAAAAGAAAATAAGAGACCGAGATTTATCCAGAAACTTCTACATGAAACTGCTACAATAAGACCAATCTTAGGTTGGTTGGAGTTAGAGAAAAACTAGCAGATAGTACAAATGGGTTTACTAATATGTTTACAGAAATCATAGAAGAAAATTTATCAAATATAAGAAAAGATGTTAAAATACAAGTAAGCAGTGCTTATAGAACACCAAACAATTATGATGACAAAAGAAGCTCCCCAAGGCATAGCCTTATGAAATTTCCAGAAACCCAGCAAAAAAAAGAATTTTAAAAGGAAAACAAATATCATGTATAAAGGTAAGCCAATTAGAATTACAACAGACTTCTCAACACAAACCCTAAAAACCCCCAAAACAAGCAGGGGTAGCAATTTTAATAGCAGACATGCTAACTTTCAAGCTAAAACTGATTAGAAGAGACAAAGAATGACACCACATAGTAGTTAGGGGGACAATTAAGGAAGAGATAATGTTGACAAATGTATATGCACCAAATACTGAAGTACCTATCTTCATAAAAAAAAAACTACTGAAATCAAAAGATCAAATAAGCCGAGGATTTAGCTCATTGGCACCACACCTGCCTTTCAAGTGTAAGGTCCTGAGTTCAATCCCCAGTAAAAAAAAAAAAAGATCAAATAAACACTGACACAATCACAGTAGGAGATTTTAACATCCCCAGTTTTTTTTGGTATCTATATCTAATGGAATATTACTTGACTAAAAAGAATAACAAATTCGAGACATCTGTAGGAAGATGAATGCACCTAGAAAATATGTTGAGTGAAATAAACCAGACACACAATCTAAACTATCATAAGGTATCTATCATTTGACTGAGACAAAGTACAAATAAAGAAATTGATAAAGGATGGATAGAAAGGGACAAGGGGATGGATCTCTTGCCATAGGAAAGTGGTCCAAGGGAAAAATGGCAAGGGGTGAGGAGGGAAGGGAAGAGCAAATAAGAATAAAGTTGTTAATTTGCCCAGGCTGGGCTCAAATTAGCAATCTTCTTGCCTCAGCCTAACTTGCCTTAGAAATTTTGGATACCAAAAATATTCCTTAAATTCTTAATTTATGATAAAGATAGATTGTTGTGATAAATATTATGACACTGATTTTGCATTATAGATTAGGATTAAATGATCATAAATCAGAAGTGTGTTCAGAATTTAGGAAAAAATTGTATCTTCCTGATTAATTAATTGGTAAGTGGCAGGTAAGTGAATGCTTTTGCCAAGTAGCTGAATTTAATATGAATTCATTTAGTGAAGTTTTACCAGCCTATATTCTTTGCTGTTTTTCTTAAACTACTAGAAGTCAAACTTTAATTTTTAGCAAATATTCCAGAATTTTTTTAGTAATGTTTAAATCTCTTTTAAGCTTAGATTTTTATTTGCTTAATTAGTTGTTTTTAGAAGAAGCCACCCGGTTTCTGAACCTAATCTGATTGTAAATAAATACACAATCATACTCTGTGTTATTGCATTTTTAAAAATACTCAACCTCGTACCCTCTACCCTTTCTAAGTTTCTCCTCTGAATTTGCTTTAAGGAAAAGATTACCTGAAGCATCCTAGAACTTTTTGTCACTGGTAAATTGTGATATATCATTTCATGCCCCATAGCAATAACCATTACAACCACAAAATAAAAAACTATCTAAATATTAAAGTTGAAAAAGTCTTAGAAATAGTGAAAGCAACCTGGATATGGTCTTAACTCTTTTTAAAAAAAAAAAAAAAAAAAAGTGAAGTTGACACAGAGAAAAAAAATGATTTGGTCAGTTGTTGCTATATATTGAATAATAATCACCATTCAATGTAATTAATAAGTATTCTGTATAAGTTAAGTCTTTTTCATGAACCATTCCATTCATTTATCTCAATAATGTTAAGAAGTAAACAGTATTGCTATCCATTTTCCAGATGTATCTTAGTAACAATAAGAAAAAATTTTTAAATGTGGAGAACTCTAGCACTGGACTGAAGTCCACAGCTCCCAGCTGCCCCGCTCCTCACAACAGATTTTAGTGTATGATTTTTAAGAATTTGTATTCTTAGTTTAAGAACAAGCCGCCAATGTAGCACCTTCAGTTAAAAGATATTGTGAATGGATCTACTCTGAATATTTAGGGGCACATTTTGGGATGAGAGCTATCTCAAAACTTGACATAAGTATGCATCCTCTTACATATACATAGAGCTGATTAAACCATATTTCCCTGATTGTAAGACACATTTCTTTTCCCTTTTTAGCTATGAAATCAGGATGCTTCTTACTATTGAAAGCCTTGTATACCTGCTTCTGGGATGAAGGCAAATTACATACCATAGTTATTATTGTAGGCACATATACAAACTTCGATCAGTTAGACCAAGATGTAGCTAGATAAATGATACACATCTTTTCTTCAATTTGAAAACTATTTAAACTACATTTGTAAAAAAATAGTGAAACTTGGTTTTTGTCCAGATATCTTTCTTGAAGATCTCTTGTGTGATCCACAAAATATCAGCAACTAAACTGGCAGAACTCTGAGAAAATGCTGCATCAAAATTCTTTGGGCAACACAGACTTTAATCTTATATGAAAATCTTTTAATGTCATTAACTCTGAAAAATATAAATCATTACAATGTGTCAAACCAAGCATACTAAAATGTTAGGCTCTTCTCAATTTGCTGCACTTACCATTTCCTTTATATGTGTACATAGATATATATATGATTTCAAAGTCTAAATATATTTAAAGCAGTTTCCACATATCCATAATGCAATTATATATGGTTTTAAGTCAATTTTCATAGTTTGATCAACAGTCTTTTTTGTAATTATATATTGATTAACAGAATTTCTTACCATGGATATAAAGCATGTTAGTGTTAGACAGGGTATCATTTTGTTGAACTACATTAAAAGAGAAGGCAATGTTTTTAAACTTCTAGATGAATAATAATAATATAAGTATATTTGAGGAAACTAAATTTATATTAAAAGGAAAATCAGCAATGCTACATGTATAACATTACACATACAATACTGTATGGAAAAGCATGCTTATTATATTATTTCATGTAGTATACTATAAAAAGTAAGACTAATGTTTGCTTTGGTGGCAAGAAGGAGTGAGATAGCACTGGAATATTATGAAATGGTTAAGTGTCTGACAGTTTGATTATGATAGCTCTGTAAGTGTGTGCTTTATGATAGTTCACTGAGCTGTTCATTTATGTTTTATGTGCTCCCTATTACATGTATTATATGTCACAATGTAAAACAGAGAATATTTCAATACCAAAAGTGCACAATATAGTAGAAAAATGAAGTCATAAAGGCCACTAAAAGCTACCTTGAAAAATTAAAGATAGTAAAACTAAACACGTAATAGTTGACTTATCTAAGGTCACATAAGTAATCAATGATAGAGTTGGGTCAACTGTCTCTAGAATTCCATGTGCAGTTAAATAAATAGTAGTAATAGACTTGCAAGATTTAGAAAGAAATTAGAACACTTACCATATAAGACAAATAAATTAGCAAAATTTGCTGTCAGAGATTACATGCTGGTGGTCCTAAAGCTTCCCCTCAAT